AAACAACAACTTCAGAAACTAAGGAAAGAATATTGAAGCCTGTAAGAGAGAAAAAACAAGTAACATACAAAGGTAAACCCATCAAAATCACAGCAGATTTCTCAACAGAAACATTAAAAGCAAGAAGAGCGTGGGGTGAGATCTTCTGGGCACTGAATGAAAATAACTTCAACCCCAGGATACTCTACCCAGTAAAAGTATCATTCAAAACAGATGGAGCAATAAAAGTCTTCCATGATAAGCAGAAACTAAAACAATATGTGACCACAAAGCCACCACTACAAAAGATTCAGCAAGGGATTCTGCACACAGAAAGTGAAACCCAACTTAACCATGAAAAGACAGGCAGCACCAAACCACAGGAAAAGAAAAAGCAAGAAAGTAGAGAGTAACCTCAACTTAGGTACACACAATCAAACCTTCAAACAACTAAGACAACTAAATGACAAGAATCACCACATACCTATCAGTACTAACACTTAATGTTAATGGACTTAATTCACCCATCAAAAGGCACTACTTGATGAAATGGATTAAAAAGGAAGATCCAACAATTTGTTGCTTACAGGAGACCCATCTCACTGACAGAAATAAGCATGGGTTTAGGATGAAAGGCTGGAAGAAGATTTACCAAGCCAATGGCCCCTGAAAACAGGCAGGAGTAGCAATACTTATCTCTGACAAAGTAGACTTCAAACCTACATTGATCAAACAAGAAAAGAAGGACATTCCATAATAATAAAAGGAGAAATAGACCAAAAGGAAATAATAATCATCAACCTGTATGCACCCAATATCAGTGCACCCAATTTCATCAAACATACCCTGAAATACCTAAAAGCATGTATTAACTCCAATTTAGTGGTTGTGGGAGACTTTAGCATCCCATTATCATCAATAGATAGGTCATCCAAACAAAAAAATCAATAAAGAGATCCAAAATCTAAAATATACAATAGATCAAATGGACCTACTTGATGTCTACAGAACATTTCATCCAACTTCCACACAATATACATTCTTCTCAGCAGCCCATGGCACCTTCTCCAAAATAGATCATATCCTAAGGCACAAAGCAAGCCTCAGCAAATATGAGAAAATAGAAATTATACCATGCATACTATCTGATCACAATGCAGTAAAAGTAGAACTCAACAACAAAAGTAAAGACAAAAAACATGCAAACAACTGGAAACTAAATAACTCATTACTTAATGAACAATGGATCATTCATGAAATAAAAGAGGAAATTTAAAACTCCTGGAAGTCAATGAAAATGAAAAAACAACCTAACAGAACCTATGGGATACAGCTAAGGCTGTCCTGAGAGGAAAGTTTATAGCCATGAGTGCATATATTAAAAAGACTGAAAGATCCCAAATCAACGACCTAATGATACATCTCAAACTCCTAGAAAAACAAGAACAATCAAATCCCAAAACAAATAGAATGAGAGAAATACTAAAAATAAGAGCTGAAATCATTGAAATAGAAACCAAAAAAAAAACCATACAAAGAATTAATGAAACAAAAAGTTGGTTCTTACATCAAAAAGATTATTCACCACGACCAAGTAGGCTTCATTCCAGGGAGGCAGGGGTGGCTCAACATATGAAAATCAATAAATGTAATAAACCACATTAACAGAAGCAAAGACAAAAACCACTTGATCATCTCAATAGATGCAGAAAAAGCCTTTGATAAGATACAACATCATTTCAAGATAAAAGCTCTAAGAAAACTAGGAATAGAAGGAAAGTACCTCAACATTATAAAAGCTATATATGACAAACCTACAGCCAGCATTATACTTAATGGAGAAAAACTGAAACCATTCCCTCTAAAATCAGGAACCAGACAAGGATGCCCACTAACTCCACTCCTATTCAACATAGTACTGGAATTCCTAGCCAGAGCAATTAGGCAAGAAGAAGGAATAAAAGGAATACAAATAGGTAAAGAAACTGTCAAAATATCCCTATTTGCAGATGACATGATCCTATACCTTAAAGACCCAAAAAACTCTACTCAGAAGCTTCTAGACATCATCAATAGCTATAGCAAGGTAGCAGGATATAAAATCAACATAGAAAAATCATTAGCATTTCTATACACTAACAATGAGCAAACTGAAAAAGAATGTATGAAAACAATTCCATTTACAATAGCCTCAAAAAAAATCAAATACCTAGGTGTAAACCTAACAAAAGATGTGAAAGACCTCTACAAGGAAAACTATAAACTTCTGAAGAAAGAGATTGAGGAAGACTATAGAAAGTGGAGAGATCTCCCATGCTCATGGATTGGTAGAATCAACATAGTAAAAATGTCGATACTCCCAAAAGTAATCTACATGTTTAATGCAATTCCCATCAAAATTCCAATGACATTCATTAAAGATATTGAAAAATCTACTGTTATTTTATATGGAAACACAAGAGGCCACGAATAGCAAGGCAATACTCAGTCAAAAGAACAATGCTGGAGGTATCACAATACCTGACTTCAAACTATATTACAAAGCAATAACAATAAAAACAGCATGGTACTGGCACAAAAACAGACATGAAGACCAGTGGAACAGAATAGAGGACCCAGATATGAAGCCACACAACTATAACCAACTTGTCTTTGAAAAGGAGCTAAAAATATACGATGGAGAAATAGCAGCCTCTTCAACAAAAACTGCTGGGAAAACTGGTTAGCAGTCTGCAAAAAACTGAAACTAGATCCATGTATATCACCCTATACCAATATTAACTCAAAATGGATCAAGGATCTTAATATCAGACCACAAACTCTAAAGTTGATACAGGAAAGAGTAGGAAATACTCTGGAGTTAGTAGGTATAGGTAAGAACTTTCTCAACGAAACCCCAGCAGCACAGCAACTAAGAGATAGCATAGATAAATGGGACCTCATAAAACTAAAAAGCTTCTGTTCATCAAAAGAAATGGTCTCTAAACTGAAGAGAAACCCACAGAGTGGGAGAAAATATTTGCCAGCTACACATCAGACAAAGGACTGATAACCAGAATATATAGGGAACTTAAAAAACTAAATTCTCCCAAAACTAATGAACCAATAAAGAAATGGGCAAGTGAACTAAACAAACTTTCTCAAAAGAAGAAATTCAAATGGCCAAAACACATGAGAAAATGCTCACCATCTCTAGCAATAAGGAAATGCAAATTAAAACCACACTAAGATTCCACCTCACCCCTGTTAGAATAGCCATCATCAGCAACACCACCAACAACAGGTGTTGGCGAGGATGCGGGGAAAAAGGAACCCTCTTACACTGTTGGTGGGAATGTAAACTAGTACAACCACTCTGGAAAAAAATTTGGAGGCTACTTAAAAAGCTAAACATTGATCTACCATTTGATCCAGCAATACCACTCTTGGGGATATACCCAAAAGACTGTGACACAGGTTACTCCAGAGGCACCTGCACACCCATGTTTATTGCAGTCTGTTCATGATAGCCAAGTTATGGAAACAGCCAAGATGCCCCACCACTGACGAATGGATTAAGAAAATGTGGTATCTATACACAATGGAATTTTATGCAGCCATGAAGAAGAACGAAATGTTATCATTCGCTGGTAAATGGATGGAATTGGAGAACATCATTCTGAGTGAGGTTAGCCTGGCCCAAAAGACCAAAAAACATGTGTTCTCCCTCATATGTGGACATTAGATCAAGGGCAAACACAACAATGGGATTGGACTTTGAGCACATGATAAAAGCTTTAGCACACAAGGGAGGGGTGAGGATAGGTAAGACACCTAAAAAATTAGCTAGCATTTGTTGCCCTTAACGCAGAGAAACTAAAGCAGATACCTTAAAAGCAACTGAGGCCAATAGGAAAAGGGGACCAGGAACTAGAGAAAAGGTTAGATCAAAAAGAATGAACCTAGAAGGTAACACACATGCACAGGAAATTAATGTGAGTCAACTCCCTGTATAGCTATCCTTATCTCAGCCATCAAAAACCCTTGTTCCTTCCTATTATTGCTTATACTCTGTCTTCAACAAAATTAAAGATAAGGGCAAAATAGTTTCTGCTGGGTATTGAGTAGGTGGGGGGGAGCAGGAGGGGGTGGAGTAGGTGGTAAGGGAGGGGGTGGGGTCCGGGGGGAGAAATGACCCAAGCCTTGTATGCACATATGAATAATAAAACAATAAAAAAAAGAAATAGTATATGTAGATTTACACTTGTATATTTGAGTCATGATAAAACTTAATAGAGCATGTCACAGAACTTATATTTAACTTCTCTAACATAATAAGCTTATCAAATGTTAATAAGTCATTGAGAAGTTATATTTTCTTATTTACCAAATACAGATAGCCATTTCAGACTATCAACTCAGAGGTTTTCTATTATACCTACCAAAATGATTAACAAGATATTTCCTGCAATACAAAATTGTAACAGATAATTAAATATTTGCTTTATAATGCAATAATCTTTACAATTCATCCTTCCTAAACTGTAAAGTGGTTAGGAATTGTGGTACTTTCTTTTACATAAAACCCTTTTCTCTTCATAAAATCCTGAGCTAGAAGGTTATTAAGGTAATAAAACTAGAACCACAACTCTTGTCATTTCTGTATAAAACTATAGCTATGGGTTTAAAAAAATTATTAAGAAATGTGGCAACAGGTAAAGTTGCTCTGTAGTTCTTCAGAATATTTCCAGATCAATTAGTCAAAAGGAGCAATTGGATTTAACTTCTACCTGCAAGCCAGCAAATCACTTTAGAAATAAATCTAGTTTTATTGGCATCCACTGAAAGTAGGAACTATTGAATTTTTAATTTCTTGATCTTAGGAGACCTCATAAGGAGCACTCTTTCCTGAGCTTTCCCCATCCATTTATTCCCAGATGACTTAGATTTATTTACATTTTATTATTGATTTATTTAGAATACATGTTTCATCTCCACATTTTTTTTCTGTTTTTCCCCACCCCCCACCCCCTTCTATCCAGTATACAGTGTGGACTGCCCTCTGGGTCACCTGGAATGTGTTCATCATCTGCTTTTATTTGGAAGTAGGTGGCCTCTCAAAGGTGAGTTTGTCATGCCTTTGAAGTATACCTTGAAAAGAGTGAACTTACATTATTGTTATTATTCTATGTAAGTAATCTAAGTAATATTACAAATGGAATACTAATCAGAAATGAGTCTGGGTGCCATTCATAAAAGAATGCACTTGGGAACATGCCAATATAAAGGAACTTCAAAATAATTGCCTCTGGTTTTGTTCACTACACCCACTTAGGACTTTACTTCTGCTGCACCCTTATGCCCATTTTAAAAGGCAGAATGTCACAACGAACTCAGCCCCAAATGTTAAGGGGAAAATTATTTTGAACCTTCCTGTGTTAAAAGTAGAAAAAGGGATTACAAAGAATGAAATCTTTATATATGTAAGTAAAGCACACGTTTACTAACACATAAATGCATCAGTGTGATCACTCCTATTCTGAAATACTGATCAGATAGAAGGCACATGTCTTAATGTGTATGATATACATGTTATTTCTGCCTGTCTAATGCTGTTAGAAGAATACGCAACTTTCATTAGGCCTTCTGAAAAATGTCTTTTGATTTCCACCCAATATGAGAACAAAGCATGTAAATTTCTGTTTGTAGTTCTTAAAATTCTTTTTCTTAAGCAGCACAGTTTTCACTGTAGGTAAGAAATGTAACAATGTAATGCAAAAGGTATAAAAAAGATTTTTTTTAGCATATCTCATTATCAAGTATATTTGCACTAATTATTCTGTCTGCTGTCTTACAACATTCTCATATTTTAAATAACATTATGGTCTTCTACTCACATTTGCGGTTTATGTCTTAGAAAATCTATCTTGACCAGTACAGATACTTTCAGAATTTTTGGACTCCACTGAAGTCCAAATGGTAGCAAAGCATGTTTGATTCAGTCAAACAAAAATTCTCTGGAAGGATTTGTTCCAGAGCCTCCAGAGGTGGTTACTCTTTCTTTCTATCCTATACTAACTTTAAAATTAGAACTTGTTATCATTTCCTCATATTCAAGAACCAAAAATGACATTTCCAATAATGAGTTCCTCACATAAGTACTAACATCTTCCTTAAATATTTGTGCTCTTTGATTGCATTCTTGAAATAGAAAAAGTACTTAAATCTATGTCCAGGTATAATCTATAAATGCAGATTAAGAAGTAATTTTAAAATGCAAATCTTATGAATGAAAGAATTATGAATAATAAGTTAAGCATAACATTTTCAATGCCTCACATTTTCTGCCTGGCAATTTGAATGGTCATTTAAAATCATGTTTTTATTTCACTGAGTGGAAATTATGTTTTATTTTCTTCCATATGAACTGATCTGGAATAAATTAGACCAGAGGAAATTGGTCCTGTGGAACTGGCATCATAGTGTGTTGAAGGAAGACTGAATTTCAACTCATAAATATTTAGTTTAAATCTCATCTTTAGCACTTATCAACTGTGAGATGTTAGCAAATAGCTTCACCTGGCTGAGGCTATAAGAAATACCATAATATGGCAGCTTGGCCAGTGATTACAGTAGTAAATGTTTGTTGCCCTGTCTATGCACATAGCATGTAGTAACTCAGGTAAGCTTCAGAACAACTCTGTGAAGTGATCAAAACAAGTAAGTAACAGCAGTCCTTTGCTCCACACAAGTCTGATTCTCCTTTTCTACTTGTGGTTAATTTAGTGAACTGCTTTTTATATTTTCTAAATATCAATGTGCATATCTGAGGTCTCTTTTTTGTCTCATTTCTTTGGGAGTAAGGCAAAAACCATGGACATAGTCATCCTAGTTACTCATTTTCTTACCCACTTGAATGCCATTAAGCAGTCAACCAAGTGTTCTTTGTGATTGAAAAGATAGATGACTCCAAAAGGAGCATTTGAAAGATTTTCTGTTGATTTCCTTTTTTTTTCCTACTGCCTCCTGGTAAAGGCCGGTAACATCTCCCTGGCTAGCTACAGCCAGGAGTATGCAGGAACCCTATTCTGAAAAATAGAGCAGAGTTAAAAATCCTTGACAAAGGAGGAGTGCCCCTGCCACTCTTCCAGGTTGAATTCCATTATCTATAGGTGCTGGTTATTATAAGAGGCATTTCTTTGGAATTACTGACTTCAACTGGGGAGTGGATTCTGAGAAGCCTATGAGAACTTGGTGTAAGCACAGCTGTGCCCAGTGATCTACAGGTTGAGTTTGGCATGGCCCCAGCAGCACAGCTGCTTTTCCTAAGTTCTTTACTTTCAGAGAAGTAGGAACGCAGGTTTCTCTTGTTACAATGTTAAGCCCCTTCCTGAGAACGGTTGCTCCACCTCCTTGTTTACCACTGGATATGAAAGACTCATTGAAGGAGGATGTGAGGTTTTTTGATGGAGAATTGATTAATTGGTGCGATGCTTGTAAGAATGATGCTGCTGTTGCTGTGGCTGAGTTATGTTAGAGAATAGAGGAAACATGGGACAGTGCAAGTCTAAGGACCAAGACTTGAAGAGTTATGCTAATGCAGTTTTTAGATGAAGCTGCTGTTGTTTGTCTGCAAGTCTGAGCACCGAGACTTTAAAGGCAATATGAGACAGTGCAAGTCTGAGGGCAAAGACTTTAAGAGAGATTTATGCTAAAGAAAAGCTAAAGAAAACATGGGACAGTGAGAGTCTAAGGAAACAGACTTTAAAGAATAGAAAAGAAGACTTCAGAAGCAAGGTTTTAAAGAATAGTGAAGAAGCAAGGTCTTAAAGAATAAGAGAAAAAAAGGAAAGTGAAAGAAGAGAATAATAGAGTAAAAAAGCAATGAGGCTCCATCCAAGTGCCCAGCACACCTGACCCCAGCATTATGCAGCTTCTCTATCATTTGTCCTTTCTGCATCTCCTGTCGCCCCCAGTTAGCCCAGTTAGGTCAGGAGAACAAAGGAATGAGAAAACAGATTAATAGAAGCTACCCTATACCTTGGGTTTTGCTCTGAACACACGTTCTGAAATAGTGAATCTTTCTAAACAAACTGTATCCAAAGTAATGTCTATGAATTTGGGAGTTATTGCAAAGGCAAGCGTGGTCTATGAATGGCCAGTTTGTATTCCATGATGTTATTTTGCTCCATGTGCAAACAGCTTACATCCTTAGAGTGAGAACAGTCCTGGTTTAGCTGAAAGTGAACCACCATACAGGCCATGAGCTCAGAAGCAGTCCTCACAATGCTTAGAAGGCTAATGGGGCTCCTTGACTCCTGTGTGTTTGAAATGCCTCATTTTAATTTCTAATAAGATGAATATTGATGAGTGTAATCTACATAATCAAAAGCTCTTTGGGATACTCATTAAGTTTTAAGAGTATAAAAAAGGTATTGAGGGCAAAAAGTTTCAAAATGACTGCCCTAGAGTAACCAGTATAAATAAATAAGTAATGCATTCAGTGAGAAACTAAAGCAGATGATACAAATAGAAAAGAATATGATAAATTAAGACCCAACTGCACAAATAACTATACAAAGTGCAAATCAAACTAAATACTCCAATAAACATAGATTAAAACATTGAATTTTTTAAAAGATAGTACCCAATGGTATTTATATGAAATTTACTTTAAATATAAATATATATATATATGTTGACATTAAAAAGATGAAAATCATATGCTATTTAGGAGGAAACCTCTGTGGTTATGTTAATATCAAAAATAAAGTAGACTTCAAGAAAAACACTATTAATACATGTAAAAAATGCTTTATAGTAAAACATCAATACATCAAATAGACATAACAATCATAAATCACATAAAAAAATAATTATATAACACATGGACATTTACAACATATTTTTTTGAGAAATATTGGAAGAACTGACAGATCCAGAACTACTGGTAGAGAATTTAATAATTCTGTCATTATTATTGATAGAAAAAGTAGACACAACTCAGTAGAAATAAGAGGTTTGGACAACACTGTCAACCAACTTGTATAACTAACATCTGTAGGATGTCACATTCATGACTCCATAATACATGTACTGTTCAAATATATGTGGAACAATGGCCAGAAGTGTATTCTTCTGGGTCATAAAAAAACTTAATAAATACCTAATGACTAAAATAATACAGATTATTCCGTAGTTATGAGAAAAACAGTGATTTGAAGTTGATAATACTAAGATCTCTAGAAAATCTTTAATTTTGGAAGGTTTGGCATAATCCGCAATTCAAATAAGCAACTTTAACAAAACTATAAAAGAATTTTGAAAAACATAATAAAGAAAACAAAACAAATTAATACTTATGAATGAATAAAACCAGAAATAACATATAGCTTTAAATTGATACTAGAAAAAGGAAAGTTAAAAATCAATGAAACTTTCATGTTAAGAAATAAAAAGAAGAGCAGTCTGTTGTTCCATAGTTTGTTTCTTTAATAGAGTAACACACTGAAAACTCCCTAGTAAAACTGACCAAGAAAAAAGAAGAAGCAATCTTAATTATCAATATCAATAAAGAAAGCAGAGACATAACTACAGATTATATGAAAATTAAAATACTCGATTTAAAAGATTAAATTAAAAAAATTAAACAATTTTGTTTCAACAACTTCAACAAATGAAAACCTAATATCTAGATAGAATAATTTAGAAAAATTAACACAAAAAGAAATAGAAAATATGAATAACTCACAAATTTATAACTAAAAACCTTTCCACACACACAAAAAAATGTTTAAGCCCAAAAGGTGTCAATGATGAATGTGACAAACATATAAGAAAGAAATAATGCTAATTTTACCCAAACTCTTCTAGAAAATAAAGGGCAAAGGAACATTTCCCAGATAATTTTGTGACCTTTTTAGGCAGAAGTTAAGTTGACATCAACATCCTAGCAATCCTTAGGTCTCTCTCTAGGAAAGCTCTCATTAGCCAATCAGCCAAGAGGGCCTCATGTGGTTAGTGATGTTTTTCACCACTGTTCACTCCTCTCCTATGCTGCTGGCTAAGATCAAACTTCCTCTATCCAGAAAATCAAAATCGGCTCTACCCTGGTATTGCCCTC